GTTTCCCCGCCTTACGTAGCCTAGTAGTTTTTCCAAATCGGGGAGAGAATTCGCTGATGCATGCCTATCTCGTAGACGGCTGTCTGTTGTTTTGCCCGGAGACTGACCATGCCCGCGGGAGTGGAGTTAGCGTTAGCTGGGGATTCTATAAATGAATCCAAGAGAGCCACAAGGATTTGAATGTCTAACATTGTTACTCCATTATTTTCTGTCTCTTCCTGGCTCAGGCCAACCCAGCTATTACCATGGCTCACGACGGTGGGAAGGGGAGGTTTATCCTCTTCACATGTGCCTTCATAGCAATCATGAACTCTACTACTCTGGGCTATGATTCTTCGATGATGGTATGTGTCATTTCCGCCTTGAATGAATATGCCCTACAACAGAGCTGATCACATTTCCCCATCAGAATGGACTTCAAATCTTGCCCGCGTACGCCGATTACTTTCGCCTGAATACGGCGACTACTGCCTTGAACGTCGCTATCGTCTTCGTTGGAGCTGTCATTGCAACTCCGTTCGCTGGTACTCTCTCCAACAAATGGGGTCGCAAATGCGGTCTGGTGTCAACGTCAGCTATCGCTATTTGTGGAGGCGTGCTTCAAGCAGCTTCTGTCCATGAAGCTATGTTCTGCATTGGCAGGCTTCTTATAGGCATCTCAATTAACACAGGATCTGTGGCTGCACCTGCGTAAGTTGGAACGGATTGCGCTAACGCTTGCAATGGCTGACAGTGTCCTCTAGGTACCTTGCAGAGGTAGCTCATCCGGACAATCGTGAGATGCTCGTCGGGCTCTGGGGGTCTGCTTATTACGTTGGGAGTATTCTTGCTGCGGCCATCACGTTTGGCAGTCAATATCTCAATTCTACCTGGGCATGGAGGCTGCCATCTCTGGTGAATACTATGACCTTTATTCAGGTCTCCTCCGATTCAGATATGCTGACCAGAAGAAGCTCCAAGTCTTGCCGTCAGTGCTTTGCATTCTTCCCTTGGCATTTATGCCTGAATCTCCCCGGTGGCTGGTATACCAAGACCGTCATGAAGAGGCTAAGGCGATGATTATCAAGTACCACGGAGGCGGCAACGCCAACTCTCCTATTGTGGCCAAAGAATACGAAGAAATACGCCAAACACTCTCCCACGAGAAAGCGACGCAAACGGTCGGGTTCAAAGCCCTCGCGGCAACAAAACCCAATCGTTGGAGACTCGGTGTTGTTGCGGCCACGGCCGGTAAGTATATCACACCTCGTATTTCTTTCCCAGCTTACTCACCCTCTGTTGAAGTTTTCTGCCAGTTTAGTGGAAACAACATCATCACTTATTATCTTGGGGAGACTCTCTCCACTGCCGGCATCACCAAAGTACAGACGCAACTCGGTATAAATATCGGCATCAGTAGCTTCAGCCTGGTCACTTCTGTGCTTGGAAGCATCTATACTGCAAGACTGGGTCGTCGTCCTTCATTCTGTGAGAGCACCTTGCCATCTCACGCACTATTTATGAATCGGAAATTTGCTAATATGTGCCAGTGATCTCTACTGGTTTAATGAGCATGACTCTACTCATCTACGCCATCCTTACGAAGCTCTACATCGGCAGAGACAATTCAGGGGCGTCCGACAGCTTGGTGTTCCTGATCTTCCTCTATTTCGGAATATACTCTTTTGTGTGGACGCCTCTTTCCGCGCTTTATCCAGTCGAGGTTCTCACATACTCAACCCGTGCACATGGATTGGCAGCCTATAGCTGTATTGTCTACCTCACAGCCTTCTTCAACACATACGTGATACCCTTTGCGATGAGAATTAACTGGGGTTTCTATCTTATTACCGCTTTGTGGTGTTTAGTTGAATGTGTGGTGATCTATTTCTACTTTCCAGAGACGATGGGTATGTCGATGGAGGAAATTGATGGTGTATTTGGAGAGGACATGGCTACTGTTCTAGAAAGTGTACGGGTGGATGTGGACGTCAAGGCCTATGAAGGAAAGGACGTGACGACCACACCTGTGTGAAAGTTTACAGAGGAGCTGTCAAGTTGAAGAAGGCAGCAACTTCCAGATCTGATCTTCTTGGTCGGTAGAATTACTGCTGAATGTTGATGTCGGCATGCGTTGCGGAATCAAGACTTTATCAATTTGGCTATTTAGGCATGCTCGGCCGGCAAACTGTTCCAGGGGCATTCGTGCTGCCATCTTAGAACAGGAACTTGTTGCAATCACATCTCCTTCCCTTTTCTTCTCAGATGCTATAGTATTCAATTTGGCGGTTTAGTTGGGGGAATGCTGCCTGCTCTCCTTGCGTTTTATTGCTTTCCCTCCGAGAAAAGAAAGGACGAAAAGACTACGACGACAACCAGGGCCGAAAAGAACAAGGAAAAATCTGTTGTTCAGTCTCCCATTTCTTCAAATCTCTCAGTTATCAACTTACTTCAAATAGTGATAAATTAAGAATCATGACTTTTTTTCCAGTTAAGTCGTCTAATCTTCCTTGTAGTTTCCATTCACCCCGTTCTCCGCGGCTACTGTGTCGCTGTCCTTAACCTCCTCCTCGATTCCAGGAACCCTGGTCTCAGCCGTGAGTTATCCGGGTTAATCCTTAACAGACCGTCGTGGTGGACTTTGAGACCTGTAAATTTGGGGGATTAGTACGGGAACTAAAGCAGAACAGAGTTGCGAATAATCACGGAATTAGACGAGACAATTTTCACTTACTGGTAGGAAGGGATCCCATGAACTCCAGTCTTCCAGCACATTTATATCGATGCTGCCCGGGCTGGGCTTAGGATCGCTACTGGTGGGGTTCGGGGTGGGAACGGTCGTCTTTAATTGTCTTTAAGGGAAGGGAGCCCGGCGAAGGTTCTTCAACTTGGCAAAAACCTCTAGCTGGGTAGCTATGGCAACTTCGACGAATGGACCGGCTGAGACACGAGTGCGGGCCGTAGCCGTGATGGATGTATAGGGACCGATCGCAGGACGGATTGATGGTCTTGGGGTTGGGACTGCACGTCGAAGAGGTGATTTACTTTGTATCCCTAAGAACCCCAAGCTTATAGGGCTTAGGGGCACTAAGTAGCCGCCGAGGCCGCTACTGCGCTAATACTGTATCTCCAGGCTGCTACTACCGGTGGAACAAGCAATAGGTAGGTATCATTTGAAAGTCTCATCATTCAATCTTCAAGAACCACCTTGGGTTTCCTGACACCTGCCCAGACCCCCGATTTGCTCTGGGACAGGATACCGTTTGGATCAAGAGTGTCCTTGATGCTGTCCACCAAGCGACCGAGGGCGCCGCCGTTGAAATCGAAATGGCCTCTAACCTCGTCCATGTAGTCGATGTGGGTGCGGTATTCCGAGACATGGGTGTTGTCCTTGCCATCCTTCAGGAGCTGTTCGAACATGGCTTTGGCTCTTGGCCCTTCACTAGGCCCATACACGACCAGCAGAATGGCGATGACATAGTAGCCGTAGACGTGGACGTCGGAGAAGAGGTCGAACTGAGCGTCCTTGACGATCTCTCGTGCCCTGGTCCACCACTCCTGCAGCTCCGCGCCGTCCGACGGGAAAAGGGGGGAAAAGGGGGGGAAAGCAGATGTGCCCGCCGCCTGGGCCGCGCACATTCATCAATTCTTTGGCAGCGATGTTCGGGATCCCAGAGTGGGGGATCTCGGTCAGACGCAGTTTCGAGGCATCCAGTCTCGCCCCGCCTCGGGTAGCTCCATGTCGTTGGTATGTCCAGGTCGCTCCCGGTGCAGCACGAAACCGCTCCTGAACAATGCTCTAATGGGCATCCACAACAGCTACAGAGAAGCCGTAAATGGCGAAGGACGCCTTCTAGTAGCCCAGCCCGATCTCTTACGCAATCGCGGTCGGATCTTTGTTGGAGACACATCTTCCTTGCCCGCCCGGGCCGAATACGCGCTGCAGAGCATTCTGGTCTTAGAGTGACAGTGCTTAACAGTACGGGTTGGCGATGGACGAGTGAATTTGGACGATTCCTTCACGTTCCAGAGTAGCCACGGTTTTGATCAAGAGCCGGAGTTAACTCTCATGCGGTACACTCACTTCGCAGTCCAGAAAGCACACCGGTACCTGGGTAATGAGGATTCCGATTTTCGTGATAATGCCTAAAGACACCCGAGGTATTATGGTCAGAATCGCCGTCGAGCACGACTGATTTTACGCGCTGACTTGTGTGTATACAGGTACATACCTAGGTTGGACTGGTAAAACAGGCCGTCTACACTAGCCCCGTATTCTTCTCCCGGCCTCGAGATTTTGCCGAACCCCGGTTTGAGATCTGCTGCTGTCGTTCGCTGTGGGGGACGTTGTCTGGGGGGTGGGCACCAACGAGGGTAAGGGTCTCTCCTCTAAAGCTCCTTAGTCTAGTGACTAGGTAGTGCTACTGCACTCCCTACAGCCGGTTACAAGTACGACAAATGGAAGTAGTTGTTGAAGATTCGGTCCAGATACCTTCCGATGTGGGAGATGACAAGGAGAGGGATTAGTCATTTCTTGGTCATCATTGTTAATACATATCCAACCTGCGGAATCTCCCTCTGAGGGGTGTATATATATAAATGCAGGATGGGAGCCATGATTGTAAAGATGAGGACAAGGGAATTAATGAGGAAACATTTCGAGTCCGAGCATAATCTCATATCCTTAACAGTTCTCTGTTCGGGACACTGGTCGACGTGAACTACGGGTGTATTTTGGATTCTCAGAAACGTCAGCCTGAGCTAGCTGTTTGAGGTCGTTCAAATACTGTGCGCTGAGAGATGATAACTCTGAGTGCTGATTAATCATGCTGTGGTTTCGCTTCAGGAGATCGATCAGTTGTTGACAGGCGTATTGTCCTCTCCTTAGAAGGTGGTGATGCGTGAATGAGGCACTCAGGAAAATGAAAGCTTGTGGGGAGATGGCCAATGCCCTCTGCCAACATGCCTTCACGAAATTTTGTGCGGCTCGCTGGCCTTTCAGATCCTCGACCGCGGTCCGAATATTTCTGTGAGTCCGAACTGAGTGTTGACCGTTTCCGGAGCCTCTGTACTGTAATTGTGTGTGCAAAAAGACATCATCCTGGTTTGTAGAGTCAACAGTGTTCAATGACCAGCGACATGATCTTTGGTACGTTCATGTGTCGCCATAGGTGTGACAGTGTGAGAGTGTGACAGTGTGAGAGTGTGACAGTGTGAGAGTGTGACAGTGTGAGAGTGTGACAGTGTGAGAGTGTGACAGTGTGAG